GGGGAGGGAGAGGTCACCAAAAAATTTTTCCGGGACATACCAAAAAATATTCCTTAATATCCAGTAATTTTCGCAAACATACAAAAAATTTTCCGTAATACCCAAAAAATTTTCCCTAATGTCCCGTACTTTTCGCAAACATACAAATAATTTTCCGGACATACCAAAACAAATTCACCTTATATACCGTAATTTCACACAAATACAAAAATTGTTCCGGATTTAACATCATTTTTCCGAAATTTTTATGTTTTGCCCGAATGACGCATGGATTTCTACCCGACCGTAAAAATTTTGGGGGTTGCCCCCTCCCGGCCCACCCGGCCCACACGCCTATGCAACCGCGATATGACCAAGATTGACATTAGCTGTCTTGTACCACATTGAACTTCTCGGAAACTGTCCCGCGCGAATCACTATGCGCTGAGATCTCTGAGATAAATAAGAACGGAACCAACTAGAATACTATTTTCCCGATCTCTGAACTTGTCAAAATATTTCAACTTTCAAGCGATGTTATTTAAGACGGGAATGCATGTTCTCACTTTTAATTAAGGAAATCTCCTTTGGAAAATTTCCTTAAACTGAGGAAATTTTGACTTTTTAAGGAATGGATTTTTTGAAGAATTTCTAAGGAATTTCAAGCATTTAAAACCTAATATTTGAAAGTATTGAGATAACATTAAAAAATGCAGTCAAATTAGCAGTTATTTATAAAAAATACTTTTCAAAAACGCAGAAAATGCAGTATTTACTGACTCGCTGACATACTGTGTCCACAACGGACAAAATCGAACCCGCAACCTTAATAGGTATCAAGGGAATTTTGCTGAAACTGAGGAATTTTTTATTGATAATCTATGGAATTCTTGGCAATTGGAAGTAAAGACTAAAGAGACAACATTACGAAACATAAAGAAACAACATATTGTGACAAATGACATTATGCTGCCGAAGTATTTCAAATAAACATGAGCGCAGTTATCACTTCAGTGTATCGGAATTCTCCTGGTATTGGGTTGATTTTGTTGGCAATGTTGCATGTTGTACTCGCATACACACACTGGGTGATCACTGATCAAGGACGCATTAGATCAAAGGTGAGTTTAATAGGTCATCACAATGCTCGTTTGTTTATGGTGTGTATAACTGTGTATTTGTATTTGCTTGACATATTTAACTAAATTGACAACCTTTTAAACATAGACTGAAATGAGACTATAGTCTGAATATTGGGGAATTTCGTGTTGAGATGTTATATAGCAAGGAATTTAAGGATGAATCAAGCCAGAAACGTGAAACTTTTAATTGCACCGCTAGATGTCACAATTATTCGAGAGCCTAGCCTAGCGACGTTTTTGACAGCACCGACACCAACCGGAAGTGAATCGAGCCGCTATGGATGGTTTTAATAGGGATGGCCACAGATAGTCTTCTTTGAAATCACAAACTTGAAACTTCATTTGAAACTTCAAACTGTCATCATCACTTGCCATCTGTTGTGGCTTCAGTTGATTCACTTCTGCTTGGTGTCTGTGTTGTCCAAAATATCACTTACCCGAGCTCGGTGTTACTGTTTACCTTGCAATTTTTGCTGTGATATTTAGGTTGCGATTTTGGGTCTATAGTGTACGGGGTAAATATCAGATTTTGGGTGTTTCACTTGATATAACTAATTGTTGTAGTAATTTGTAGATGGAAATTTTGAATGGAAATTTTATATACATTGATTAGACCTAACCAAGGGCAGTTCTGAACTATCTGTTTTCTGGCAGGAATGGAACCTGCGGCCCTGCAATTCTGGTGCACAGCTCTAACCAACTGAGATAGTTGTCGAGCTCTAACCACAAATTCATGTATAAATACTAAGGTGATGCCATGTATGGATAAATATGGGGATTTGGGGCATTTCTGGTTAGGTCTAATACATGTGTAAAGAATTCCACTAGAAATTTTCATTTATAAAATCCCTTCAACTATAGTGTAGTGTGTGTGCTGTTATCGGTGCAGATTGATATGGTGAGAAGGGCAGGGTGCAGTTCAAGTGGATGTCATGGGGAGGGGGGATCACAAAAATACAATGGATGCATCTGTGTAAAATAATGTGTGATGTTTTCTATAAAAATATGCATCTACATTACTACATCCTTTGCAGTCGAGCTTGCAGCTTTCATTTTAACCTTTAAAATTGTCTAAAAATATACAGAGTCAACAATAAAGTAGGGCGCAATTGAATTACATTGATTAAAAATATGAATTCATTAGGTGTGCACTAAAACTTGATTCCGGCTGGTTGGTTCTGGCTGGAACTGATAAAAAAGTGTGGCTGGAACTGGATTAGAATAATGTATATAATTATATAATTTTCATTTGCTGTCATTGAAAATTGACCAAATATTTGAACAAATCACATACCATAGTTTACATATAGTACATACATTCATACATAACTTTATTTATAACTCTTGAATTTACAGTGTACCGGTAGCTAATTTTAGCTAATATGCAATTGAGTTGGCATCAATGGCTGATTTAAGTTATATACAAAGACATACTAGCATGGACATCTATTCCCACTTCTTAAAGTACATACTGTATGTCATTCACAAATTTAAGTGTATACAGTACATGCTACACCTGCCTGTCTGACATGAGACGGTATCCGGTCGTTTCGCCCCCAAGTTGTTAGATGTCAAAGTTGTTTGGCCTCCAAAAACTTATTGGATACAGGGTTCGAAATAATTCTGAAAAAATGGTTCGTGAATTAATTTTTTTATTTTAAGGAAATTTTAAGGAATTTTCAAGGAATTTTCTCTAATTAGAAGTTAAAAAGTGGAAGCACTGCAATTTTCAAATATATAATATACATCGCAAACTCGCAAAGAAATAGAATTTTGGGTGGAATTATAATCGTTTTTAAGTACAATCTAACAACAATATCTTCAGAATATATTATCCTTCATCACATTTACAAAGAACTGAATTTATTATTGTATATTTTTATCAATTTAAGAGACTTTTGATTCGTGATTTTGATCAATGTCTATGAAATTGGGTTCGTGAAAAATGAAAATTGATTCGTGATTCACGAATCACGAACCGTTAATTCGAACCCTGGGATATTCGATAAACTTTTTTAGCAATAGCAAAATATTTGAATTCAAACGCAAAGACGAGGGAATATATTATATATATTACGTTCAAATAGAATATATATTACGTTCAAATATATGCATTGCAAACTTTTCATGCATTTGTTTTTGTTTGAAACTTGAGGTTTTGTAATTAATTCTGACACCAGTTGTCTTTGCCAAAAAAAACGGCAAACGCGCAAAAATTAAAAACCTATATTCACTAGTGTGTGCATGCTTCAAACTTGTCAAAGCCAAAGCTGACATTTCAAACGAAAACAAAAGCGTGAAAAGGTTTGACAAAGTCGGTAACGACTTGGGGCGCATCGACCATGAGACAAAGTAACATGTAGCCATAGATAGTTTACCTGTCACATTTCAGTTCAAAAATAGAATCATACAGTACTTAGCTTTCAGTCATGGAAAATGTGTTTGGCCAGGTTTTTGTGTGGTAAATTATGTTTAACCCTTTCCACCTCTGTTTAGCCAACTCAGTTGCAGTATGCTCTTATGTGCCCTACTGTATTATTTCATTTACTTGTCGAGGAGAAAGTCCTGGCGCTTGTGGTTAATCAGCCCAGTTAACCCATTGAGTTGCATTGCACCCTAATACACCCTGGGTGCACAACCAGCTGTACAGCCATACATTTACTAGTATTTGGAGCACATGTCCGGCACACAAAAAAGTCTCATTCCATACAGGCTAGTGGTGCTACTTTCATTGTCTCCAGATGACTGTACTCATTAAAGGGCAAGCATTAGCACTTATTAATAATTCATGTGCACCCCCACCCCGACATTTAAATGCTCATTAGATTAAACGACAGTAGTATGATTGAAATAAGGATTTCGAACTAAACAAGACTAAAAATAAGGTTTTTGAACTTAATTTGAACCAAAAATCTCAAAATCCTTCCTCCAACTTACTTCGCAGTAGTGACTGTGCCCCAGACCTCTGCTGCAGCTTGCTCGGCTGCACTGTGGCCCCTCGCTCATACATACACAAGTCCCTTCCTCTTAACTACTACTGCTGAACATTGAGTTCTAAGCCACAAGTTCATGTGTAAATACTAAGGAGTTCTAACCACAAGTTCATGTGTAAATACTAAGGTGTTCTAACCACAAGTTCATGTGTAAATACTAAGGTGTTCTAACCACAAGTTCATGTGTAAATACTAAGGTGTTCTAACCACAAGTTCATGTGTAAATACTAAGGTGTTCTAACCACAAGTTCATGTGTACATACTAAGGTGTTCTAACCACAAGTTCGTGTGTAAATACTAAGGTGTTCTAACCACAAGTTCATGTGTAAATACTAAGGTGTTCTAACCACAAGTTCATGTGTAAGTATACTAAGGTGTTCTAACCACAAGTTCATGTGTAAATACTAAGGTGTTCTAACCACAAGTTCATGTGTAAATACTAAGGTGTTCTAACCACAAGTTCATGTGTAAATACTAAGGTGTTCTAACCACAAGTTCATGTGTAAATACTAAGGTGTTCTAACCACAAGTTCATGTGTAAATACTAAGGTGTTTTAACCACAAGTTCATGTGTAAATACTAAGGTGTTCTAACCACAAGTTCATGTGTAAATACTAAGGTGTTCTAACCACAAGTTCATGTGTACAGTACATACTAAGGTGTTCTAACCACAAGTTCATGTGTAAATACTAAGGTGTTCTAACCACAAGTTCATGTGTAAATACTAAGGTGTTCTAACCACAAGTTCATGTGTACATACTAAGGTGTTCTAACCACAAGTTCATGTGTAAATACTAAGGTGTTCTAACCACAAGTTCATGTGTACATACTAAGGTGTTCTAACCACAAGTTCATGTGTAAATACTAAGGTATTCTAACCACAAGTTCATGTGTAAATACTAAGGTGTTCTAACCACAAGTTCATGATTGTGTAAATACTAAGGTATTCTAACCACAAGTTCGTGTGTAAATATTAAGGTGTTCTAACCACAAGTTCATCTGTAAATACTAAGGTATTCTAACCACAAGTTCGTTTGTAAATACTGAAGTGACTCTAAATATGGGCACTGTAAATATCAAGATTTTGGGCACCTCAATCGATGTAACGTGAAGGGATTTCTAGGGATATAAGTGTATAATTATATATAAGTCCATTCGAGATTTCCATCTACAAATCACTTCAAATCAAGTATGATGTCAAAGGATTGTTGTTGACTAAAACAATACTTTTGTTGTTAGATTTATTCAGAATTCCACCTGAGAAGACCAGAGAACCTCATTATATTTATAAGAACTGAAGATGATTTAAAACGTCTGAAACGTGTCAAAGAGGAATTATCCAAAGAAAAGAAAGTGTTAGAAGTGGAGCGAGATGAAGAAAAAGTGGATCTAGTCATGAAATACCATAGTGAAGATGAGGATTGTTTACTGGCTGGAAAACCTTTAAAAAATTTTGATCTTAAAATTAGTACAGTCATTCCATTTGATACTCTGGGAATAAGGTTGGTGGATTTTTTTGTAGAATGCATTGTATGCATTTGATAAATGTTTTGCTTTATGCACAAACACATGGACATTATTTATTTGGTAAAGTCAAATTAGGAATTGTGAGTCGTTCTTTTTGGAATAAAGTGCATGGAATCTTTTATAATTGCAGTACATGCAGTACAGTATATTCTGGTCTTTTTCCATATGGTCTTACGTACCGTTTTAAACCGAAATCGCTGGATATAAGTCATATATTGACCCGAGTTTGATACATGTACGGTGATGTACGTCCAGTTACTAGTATAAGTAAACATGTGTATGTAGTGACACACATCCACATTATCCAACTCAATCACGGTGTGGAGTTTGTGCTGGTGTGAGCACTGTACAAGATTCAACTACGTATAATGCAGTACCCGAGAAATAAAAATAATTTATAAATATGGCAACATTTGCATAGCGGGACTGAATCGTCGGGCTGGCTACGCCACTGATTCTTCTTATTTCTTCGAAACAAAGTACTTGAACTCTCATTGTATGAAATGATTTTCCACATAGATGTTTTAAAAAATTGAAATCTTGCTTATCTTTTTCTGACAAACAGCCATATATTTGAGATCAGTGAGGCGGTTGAGGTCCACCCATGACCAGGGTCTTAGCTAGGATTTTAGATCTTGGGCGTGTTTCTAAATGGCCAAGGTGTGCACATGCATTTCAATTACCTTGAATAGCCAAATTCACGGTTCTAGTTATGGCTAGCCAACAACAGACAATGCCTGTGCATGGTTGTTCTATGCTTTGGAACCAAATACAAGACGAGCATACGCTCATATTGTGCACTGACATTAAAATATTAAGTTATTTCAGCAACTCTTGGGGGTATTTTAAAACCATTGGGCATTGTACAGTAACACCATATCCATCAAAACATTAAAACATCGCGGATCAGTTTTGCCAATTTCAACAACTACAGTAGATTTTACAAACTTTCTTACGACATAAATATAGGAAGAAATTATGTCTGTTGTAAGCAGTAACACCTCATTTTTTGAACCTACACGGCCGTATATAAATAATGAAGCCGCGTTCATTTTATCTAGCCGTGTCTCCATTTTTGGCCATGATAACACGGCCAACACGGCCCTCTAGCTAAGACTCTGCCCATGACACCACTTTAGACTTAACGATTGTCTTTCCACGGCTGTAAATAACTGAGCGGAATTAATTCCCTCGCATCGGCTTACTCCCGGAACTGTACTTCGTGCCGATGTCTTGGCGATTAATATTGTAGCCCTTGTTGGCACATTATGATATGTTGCATTCTTTAAATTTCCCGGTTCACGTATATAGACATTAGGGTCTTTTCTGGACCCGATATGTAGCTGATGTTTTAAGAACGTGTTGGAGAATGATGGTTTTGAGGGCAATTACAGCACTACTTAATAGCAAAACTGAGAAGAAGATTTGTTACTCTCCTATTTCGCTTTTGCCAGCCTTGAACGAGGGCTTATTATATTTCTGGATTTAGGTAATGACTCACTACAGAAAACAGTGATCAAATACTAAACTTGATTATATTTGTTCGATGATTTTTAGATACACTGATTATATCGACTTTAAAAGTGAACTTCCTCACCAGTCTGTGCCGCCATTTTGTGCCGCTGTTCTGCCATTCAGCATGATTACCATGGAGCACCTTGAGGGACTGGTGAAGAGAGACCAGATAAATAATTATTCTGAGAAAGATTTGAATAAACACATTTTTGCGGAATATCAGTTAGAAAATATTGGACACAGAATTAAATATTCTCTAGAAAAGGTAAGTGGCCGTGAATAGTCTGACAGCTTGAACAAGACCATAAATCTACCATAAAGACAGCTTAAAAAGCGACCTTTTCAACGACACAGAAGGTCCGTTATAGAAGGCGTGTGATGGTATCCTCGTTCCCAGGGTTTCTCGGCTGCCTGCGTTGCCATAAGCCCTGGGACAAGCCAAACCGGAACACCACAAATTCTGGTGTTTTCCGGAAGTAAACGTGCTTTGCTGCAAGCTAAAAATGCTGACCATGCATTAATTTTTACTGACGAGTGGAGACGTGTTGGTGAGCAGAAAATATTGGATTTTTCTTTTGTTTTGATTTGATGTGTTTTCCGCCATCAAGGGAATACGTGTAGACTACCTAATGGAATTATACATGTTGGGGTTTTATATTTCGTTATACATCGTTAATATTCGTCAAAATACAAATATCATATTTTGGTCTCATATTTACATGTATGATCTAAACATGATCGAGTCGAAATGTGCTCGAAGTGATTGCTGTGATTCGAAACATCAGTCATCATGATTGGGTTCTTGTACATATGACCTGTTTCAACACGCGCTTGTAAAGTCACTTCAAAGACTGGACAAAGCCGGACTGGAAATTAAAGAGAAGCATACGAAGCTTTTATCGTTTGTTGTAAGGAACAAGAGCGACACGTCTAAACAGACTAAACGGCGGTGTGTGTCTGTTTACTGTCTTTTACTGAGTTGCAACAGCAATAATAACAATGAATCACCTAACATTTCAAGATAATATAAATTATAGCATAGATGTTATGCATGTCTCAACGATTTATGGATTTGAATTGCTATAGATTTAAATCCATATTATGTATACAAAATCATGCGTGCGTAAATTTGAGCAAAAAAGCACAAGGTGTTTGGCTATATGACCACCCACCATGTCTATATATGAAATATGAATATTGAACACCGTTTTATATAGTACGTTTAAAACTTTATTCCCATGCCGGATAATACTGAATTCTTTACCGATTACATGTGGGAAATGATGAAAAATAATAATTATGTGAAATAATTAGCCTATGTATAATATGTCTTTGACCATGAATGTGACTATGCTGCTTACATCTGACAGTCAAAACTATGTGCATGACTGCATGTTTGAGGGAAATTTTTGTTTCCAGACTACAATATAACAACAATATTTCCTGCATTCCAATATATTTTCTACATGAAAACACACCTTCTGTTTCAGATATATGCCTTCTGTATCAATATATTACTATACATATCCGTGTCATTAAAAATATGAAAATAATTTTCGAGTTCAATATAGCTAGGCTTTAAACCAGAATTATTTCATGATTGACTCGGTTTTCTTTGATGTACCGCGGGCTGTATATAGCATAATGCCCTTGAATACCATACAGCCCTAATTAGTCAAGAAATAAGCGAGAAAACTAGAAAAATACTTGTCGAAATCGAAAAAAAAAGAATAAAACTTTGTTAGAAAACCTCTTCAATCATGAAATAAGTCAGTTAATTACCTCGAATGTCGGGCTTTATGCTATATAAAGCCCTCGAACGCTTCGCGTTCTCGGAACTGTACAGTATATAGCATAAAGCCCTCCTTCTCGGTAATTAACTCTTACTTTCAGAATACAGTTTCCAAAGCGACTTTTATGTCATTTTTGTAATGGGTTGTTTAAAATCCATTTTTACAAAGACGTGGTAGGGTGTCTCCTGGGTAGAAGCTTGCATATACATATACAAATTTTCAGTTTTCTCAATAATAGTAGTTTATTTATAATTTCAATTCTTACAAGATTTGCAATAAGTCAACAGAATAAGTATTTTATTGTTGACAGGAAACTGCGTAAATCCATGATCTTCACAGATACAGTCTCATCCAATATGACACAGGAATATGAGACCCCCACCTCAGGCATACCAGGGGCATTCACTTATTTGGTGTGTGAAATTCAGTGAAGTCCCCTGCAGCCGGGACAAAATGGCAAGGTAAATTTCTCCGGTGCTGTCATCTCCATGTATTCAACTGGAATTTTTTCTTGAAATTTCCCAAACCATTCCTTTACTGTTCTGTAAAAGCCTTTCCTAGCCGACTGCTTTATTTCAGCATTATTTTATATACAGCAGATAAAACAATAAGTGACCCCCCCCCCCATGACCTCGCTCATTCCCGACTTGGACACTGAAAGTAAGTGTCTTCCCTTTTTGCCAGGAAATGAAAAAACAGTGAATAAGAGGCGATTGTCATTGCATTCATTCCCCTGTGGTACTGTATGCCAAAGGTGCAGGGATTCAAATGACTGGTGCATTTGAATATGCTTATTCACTGTATTTCATTAAAAGCTATTAAAATTACTCACTGATAATACAACTGAGAAAATTCATAAATAGTAAAATACACCTTGTACGTATAGTATATAGGTTTATAGTACAGTACACCTTCATAATGTGCTATATTTTATAATTCCAATTGGCCATTTATAGGCCAAGTGACCAATTGGCCATTTATAGGCCAAGTGACAAATACCAGAAGCATAATAAAACGCAATGCATTACAGCATTAAAACGTTACTATCGTAAGTAAATATTTTATATTTACATTGTGCTTCAAATTTTACAATTATACTTGAGCACAATGTTTCAATAAAAGACAACTTTATAAGAAAATGTTAAAAAAATGAAGAAATTTTTAATTAATAGCTTCATAGTTCTTCGATATTGTTGCTTACTTCTACTTTATAATTGTCCATTTTGTTATTTTGTTTCCTTCTGTTTGCAAATTATTTCCATTAATCCATAGAAAACAAGCATTGTACGTTTGTATCTCTTCGTAGTTCGAATGCGCACTCCATGAAGGCAGCCATATTGCCGAATGTAAACATCCACGGAAGAGATTATTTCGCTGTCCTCAGAGTGACAAAACGTAACAAAGCAACGGTTTTACTAACACTAACCCTACTCCAAACACCAACTCTAACCATAACCCTAATCCTTGCCCTAATCTTAACCTAACCCTACTCCAAATTTGTTTCTAAACCAATCTTGAAGAAAAAAGTTTCAACGAAATGTCATTCTGAGGTTAGCGAAATAGTCGATGCCAAAATCCTCTTGATGAATAAACTTTTCATATTTAGCTATATTTCTAACGACCAATCAAATCACTTCTGCCTCGGCTTGTCCCAGGGCTTACGGCAACGCAGGCAGCCGAGAAGCCCTGGGAACGAGGATGGCGTGATGGCGACAATCATGCATTCTTTGAAATTTCTATATAAACGTGCATGGAACAGCATTGAGAATTGCCGACACTATCACTCGTCATCTATAATGCCTGGTTCACACTGGTCGTAAGAATCGGGGATTTCCATTGTCTTTGGTCATTGGTGTGTAAAATGGTTTGTCCGTCGGTAAAGGATACAATAGATCGCCGATGAATTACGACCAGTGTGAACCAGGCTTAACGCCTCTATTGACTTCCGATTATCGATCAGATGGAAATGGTAGTAGACCTTGTTTATTGCACTTAGCCCTTTCTGGCGTCGTTTTCATGCGGATTATATCCTCGCGTGTTCCCCCACACTATAGTGTTAGCGATAGGCCCGTGATTGTTGTAAAGATAGATAGAGCGAAATTTATTCGCGTTTATTACCTGCATGTACGCCTGCCATGTTAGAACAGGAGAACATAGAAACGAGGCCATTGGGATAACATTTAATAAACGATAATATATATGTTATTTATATTTTGAACACTGAAATACAAATTAACCAGAATTTTATTTAAAATGTTGAGTTGTTGGGAAAGCATTAAGAAAAGCTAATCCGGTCACGTGACTGCCAACTCTCATGCGCTCTCATCCTCGTTTGATCTAGGCTTAAAACTAAAATATTATTTTCAATTTATTAGAATGAAACTTCTTGGATATTACTGAATCTGGCAGCTTTATACTGGAGGATTCAGGGCAATTCTTTTGAAGCTATTGAGTGTCTGAGAAGGGCGTTGTACTATTCCTACAGGTATATGTAAGCACGAACTTAGAATAATATAGACGCATGCAGTGGAGTTGCCTAATGCAATCTCGAACAGTCGGTGTCAGTGTAAATAGAGACGATACAGAAAGATGTGAAGAATATACTGTACAACAACATGAAAAATATTCACAGGGCTTCGACGTCCATTGTTAACGTTGTTTACTAGAAAGTCGAAAGTATTTCCGATTTTTTGTTAAAAGTAAAAATTGTTTTTTTTCCTTCAAAATGCTAGCTACATAATAGAGTTTTTCCTCTAAACACAAATTTAATTTTTTTGTCCTCACCTTTCCTTCCGTTTCCTACCGGCATAAATTTAGTGAAATACAAGCCGGGATCAACGTTTCTTGTGTTTCCTGAGTATAGAAACTCGTGTTGAGATATTAACGTCATCAATATATAATAATATACATTTAAAAAGATGGATTATAGATCTAGATATTCTTGCCAGTAGCAGTCTGTATTTTTATACCACTCTATATTAAAATTTATACCACAATCGGATTCAACTAAAATGCAGGATGGATAGTGCAGTATTATACACTAAATACTTCGACAGACTTTGTTTTGCTTCCAGCGAGTGCGGCAAGGTGAAGCCATATTTCGACGCGATATGTAAATTAGTAAGAAAGCAGAATATATTATATCCGTAATACATGGCCATGTTATTTTATAAGTAATATTTATAATACATGGATTAAGTTTTTTCCGTACGTTGAATGCAGCCCAGAACAGATTTGACTTCAAATTTCCGTTTGGATGTAACTTTCAAGTTCTATTCAGTTCGATGTTTTTAACTGTAAATTTATCCTTATACTGTACACAAAACTGCAGCGATAAAAAGTCGCATTTTGCGGTGCGTGAACTCTCGGACTTTAGACAGTAAAAATGTAGCATGCAGTAAAAATGGCGTATAAACCGAGCATGAGAAAGGCTGATTCATCTTTATCTAATAATGCGCTGGATTTTTCTGTTGCATGTGGTGGAACAACCTGATACTCAGGGTTTTCACTTCCGCCACACCGGTTTCGGTGGGTAGCTAACCTGCGATCAGGCCTATAAATAAATAAAATATTAATATAATATATTGTAAAATAGAGCCTGATACTCAGGTTAGGGGGTGGCGGAAGTGAAAACCCTGAGTATCAGGTTGGTATTGGAATACTACATCAGAACGTGCCAATGTATTTACTGTAAGTGCTACCATATTTGCTAGAGAAACTTTAATTTTAATTTATTTTTCAGTAATGCGAGAGGCATGACTTTGGTCAGTTTAGCAAATATCTTACATCATACTGGCTTTTCAAAAGACGCGAGTGTTGTTGTCGATGCTTCGCTTCATTTTTTGAACGATAAAAGAATAAGTTGGTTTACTCTCGGAAATATCTTTGCTGTAAGTATAATTATGGTGTTAATTTAAACTGCTTATCACCCAAATAATTATACAATATATATAAAACCCTGCTCTCTCTAACAGCCAAGAGAAATAAGAAAAAGTTCGAGTTAGCGGGGCTTCGACTGTCAAATTGCGATAAATAATTTAACTGTCTTTTATTACTGTATATGGCAAGGCGTTCGATCTGCAAAAAGTGCAGCATTTTGATTTGTTCTTGAGCGGTCGATAACCTGCAGAGGGACCGCTAAGATGGATCGGTCGGGAAGAAAAAATTAAATTACTTTTTTCCCAAAACAGCTATAAATATGCAACCTTGGTAAGTTGTGCAAAATTAGGTCTCGTGGCAAGAGACCGAGTGTCAGTAAAGCATCTCAGTCATCTTCCGAACTCTCTCTCGGTGAAGACGTTTCGTGTGATAGTAGGGGCGACGACAGTAAGTAGACAAGTATTGATTTGTGCAAGTGCTACGACACTTCGGTTGAATCTCTTGCTACTTCACAAGAGCATGAAGAATACCAGTGTGTTATGATCGCACGAGAGCAGGACGAGCAAAAACTGTCTGATCGATTCTATGGAGAAAACTCCATAGCCGATACGTTTTTAGTGTAGTTTCACTTTACACTGTTGTGATGACTGGCGAAAATTCACACGAGTCAGTCATAGAGTAAACAGTCAGTCAGTCATAGAGTAAACTTTCCGGGGGGTGCATATACGCTTTATGTTTGTAGTGATTTATTGTACTTAGTCAGTGTTTTGAAGGTTACAGTATTTAGGCAATTTCAATGGTCTTATTTTAATATTCTTTTGTCCTTTTGCCAAGTTCACAAAAATTTCGAAGAATCGTTGTCGTTATTGTAAATTTTTGTAAATTTTAGAACATTCGCTTCTCATGTTGTGTAAAGGATCTTTCCCCCGGAACACCCGATTTTTTTCCTTAGCAGCGCAAATGCGCATGCGCTATCAAGCCGTAGATCAACGATGGCGTGACGAATGACGATGCTACGAAGGAGCGACACAGTGTTGTAGTTTCAAATATATAAATATTGAGAATCTACGCACTATATAAATTGATGTTATCCATTATGGGCATTCAATCAAGATATTATACAGAGCTGGGAAGGAGCTAGACAGTGCTTTTTTTCAAATGTATAAACATTTCAGACGTAAATATTGAGAAAATCCTTGAGATTCTCGGCATTCAATTGAGTGCCGATATTATTTTGACGGTATATTCAGTACAGACCAGGAAGGAGCGATACAGTATTGTTTTCAAATACATATAAAACATTTCAGACATGAATATTGAGAAAACTTTGAGATTCTACGCAATATATAAATTAATGTTTTGTATTTTACCGGCATTCAATTAATATTTTAAGTGCCAATATATATTGTTTAGACCGTATATTCATTATACATCGACTGTATAAGGTGCTACACTGCTACACCACACAGTAGATGGCTACACTCAGTACAAAGAGCGAAAAATTGTATCGAAGAAAATAACCAACAAAATAACTTGAAAGACTAAAGAAAATCTTTTGCTTCGTCAGAGCTCTTGATTCAAACGAGAAAGCCGAGGAGGTATAGCCAACGTCTTATCGCCAACGTTGGTATCCAACGGCAACGTGTACAGTCACGGGTCTTGTTCACATGTCTGGCACAACGGTGCAAACTCGTGTTCAATGCAATATTCAATGCAACGAGAACTCAACCAGATCTTACGAGAATCTATCTGTATCAAAGCTTTATCAAAACTGCTATAAACACTGCTAGAACTGTGATATTGACATCTAAAGTGACATTATTGAATGCTTGCGAAAAGCTGAAAATGACTCATGAAAAACAACTTGATCTTGGGAATATAAAGTCAAAGGTCAATGACTTGTTTACTGTATATTGTGAAACATGTCACAATTAGGTTAAAATGCAGATGCGGAACGGAGCGGTCTGCGGATGCGGAACGGATATGGGGATAAAATGCGTCATTTTAATGAGTTTTTTCGCCTCATTTTTACGTTTCTGTGTTTTTGATTTATGATTGTATCAGTTCCACGAGGCACGACGAAGGGAGTGACAAAGAATTGTTTATCTCGTAAACGCGTTGTTCTAATCCACATTTTTGAGTAACGTGCCTGTCCTAGCCTATGCCTGCTCGACTCTATACAGTTCTCGCGGTGTCTTTTTCAATTTGAAACTTTACACTATCCTTGGATCCCTAGTTTGTATATTTTTGTGCTTTGCTTATATTTATGTTTTCACGTGCGATAAAACACGTACAGTGTTAGTAAGGTTTTATAAGGTAGGGAAAGTGCCAAATATTTTCGTCACCCCTGCTAACGAAACGACTGTTTACATAACCCCGCTTTGCCGGGACGAGAGGAGAGGCGGGATATTGAGCTATTCAAATCCTGGGTTGCCGAGTTTTCCGGGCAAACTCTTTACATGGTAAAATATTCGTCTCGCCTCTTTCTGCGGAAACTCGCCAACGCGAGTTACCCGCTTGTATCATGTAAGCAGGGATGAAGAAAATATTTAGCACTTTTTCGATTACTTACTAAAACTGTATATTAACATGTTTTTAATATCGCACGTGAAAACATAAATAAGAACAACACATAAGTACTGTTTACCAGAGTTTGCTCCATAGAATCGATGAGACAGGTTTTTTTTCTCCTGCTCTCGTGCTCTCATAACCCACTGGTATTCTTCATGCGCTTCTGGAGTAGCAAGAAATTCAACCCAAGTGTCATAGACCAGTTGCACAAATCAATACTTGCCCACTTAAGCCCCGTTTACACTACGCTCAATTTTGGGTACGGCACGGATAAAATTGGTACCCGTACCACTTTTTTGGTTCTTGGACTACCTATTTAGATTGTCTGAGAACCAAAAAAGTGGTACGGTACCAAAAATCGAGCGTAGTATAAACAGGGCTTTATTTTCGTCGCCCCTGCGATCACACGTCTTCGCTGAGACAGCTAGGAAGATGACTTCCCATTCCAAACTGGAGCTTGGTCTCTCCTCAGAAAAGGTAATTTTGCACAAAGTACAGCCAAGTACATATAGCCATTAGTAATATTATTTTTTCCTTGAAAACATCGTGTTGAGTAAATGATGTCATATCCGGGTAAAAATCTCTACCTTGCTAATTAATAACTCAGGGTACCGGTATGACACGATATGCCATCGCAGCGGCACTTATAGTTTGACTAAGCTCGTTCGGTCCGTGTGATATTAGTCTCGTTCTTTGTTCGTCCGTATATACACGTACCTCGCTCTAGGGGTGGAAAAAAAAGGCAAGCACGCGAGTACTGCTAGCAGGAAATGTTAAACAGCTGCAGGGAATTTGTTTGAATACGGATCTGCTATTGAAAATGTGAAAGAAACCTTAACACCCATATCCCACTATGGGTGCAACAACATATGGTTGACAGACATTATTCCTTGAATTCAAAACCATGGTCAGCTCGAACACTATATGTTTATGCATATGCAGATTGAGCATAAAAATACTCCGTTGGTCTGCAGAAAATGTTTGTCTCCAGGTTGTGCTCCCACGAAGATAATAGTTTACCCCTGCTCTGCCTCGCTCACGGCTTGGTCCTTATACAAACAAAAAAAAGAACTCGACTGACATCTTCCTGTCAGGACCTCTTGCTCAGTCAATAACATATATTTACTGTGACTAATATTCTCTCCATCTAGAGCCTTGGTAGATATTCCTCATCAGAGATATGTTTTAGAGAAGCTTTAGAAATACAACCAAATTTCAACACTGCAAAACACAGATTACATGCTGTATTGTGTGAACGAAAATTACAGAAGGCTTTGGAACAACAACATGAGTGAGTTTTTTTAAACTTTTAATTGAGGGATATAAAGTTATTTGAGTAATACTACTGCCAGGCCTAGAAGATATATTTCTCTTATTTCTTTTTTTAAATTTCATGCAATTAAGGTTTTCTTCTTATATATTTCTCTTATTTCCTTGATATATTTCTCTTATTTACAATTCCAAAAATAAACATTTTCTGTGTAAGTGAAATATAAAACTTTTCAGAGAACGCCGAGGTGTGCCGAAAATAGGCGTACGTATAGCCCAAAACCGTGGCTATAACTATTATGGTGCCGCATAAACTTCAAGACGGAGTCTCAACATAATGCTTTTGTAAACTATACGTAAATTATATGGCAGTGCAGTATATGAGTTGACAAAAATTTCCTGCAAGATGCACATAAGAAAATTTCCTGCGAATATATTTTGTTAAATGTTTCCTGGCAGCGGTGATGCTGGCGCTGCAGGACATTTTCCTGCACTGCTGCGTTATACTGCATTACCATTAGCTGCATGTGTTTACAATAAGGACTCACATTTACCTGAGAGGTGTGTGCACTTATATGTACCATGACCTGCATAGCCTGACATGGTGGTTATAGATATATGTATATATATGGACTTCTTCTAAATTGTACCATTATATGCATGCAAACTACTGATTGAAGTAAGGATAGCCGCGATAGCGAGAGCTCATATTTTACACACTGTTGTCAATCCTAAACCGTTCACACCAGGTATCTGTTTAGCCAAGACCTGAGTTTCTTGGTTACCTCAAATGCGTGGCCTGAATTCGTGATTTCATTTTAACCATGCATGTTGGTCAGTCGTAGGTCAGTCCAAGCGTGCTCACTCTTCGGGCCATTCTTGTTTAGGTTAAGCTTCCAGTTACGGCTTATCTTGCTTAGGACGATATTTATTACTTATAAGGATCATTATTATAGTCAGTTGGAACACTTAAAACGTGTTAAAAATTAAAACATGGACTTATTGAGATACTGCTCTTCCAACTGAATCTGGACAAAGTATCTCGTTCTTCAATACATGCACTTAATGAACATTGTAAAAAATCAATATGTGGTGGTGAATAGTGCAAGTATAGCGTATACCATATTACCATAACAAAACAAAAAGCGATAGCTTCATTTACAGTACTGAAACGAATTGCTCGTCTTTAACAGAAACGAAACGAGAAGCCATTTTGCTAAATGGCCAGATATCCTTGATAAAGATATCGGCAGCTGAGCAACCAATCAAATTTCGCGAAAAATATTATCCTCCTCCCGAGTATATGTAGTATCAAATTTTCCTACGCAGCCTGTTCGCGGGTCCGAGGTTTTAGTGGGGAGAAAATCTCGGACCCGCGAACAGGCTGCGTAGGAGACTAGAGTATATGCTAAGTAAAACCAATAGGTTTTGGATTGCTCTCAGTTTCAAATTGATTAGCAAACGATGCCGGTTTATTAGTCAAATATTTTTAAAATGTATTTAACTACAATAATCTTTGACATTATGCAGTGGGCCAGTCCTATTTCCACATGCACTCAGATGTGCTATACCGTTTCTTGATGCATTTCCTCCCCCCACTCGTTTCAAAGGTTGACGTCTCGCAACATGCAGACATCACATTATTTGTCAGTCCAACATTGAACTGCGGGAAGGGGAACGCTACGCCTTTCAAATTATGATAAAATACAATATTTCCTAGTTTTGATTGTATATTGTGCTCATAATATGCGCAACAAAAATGTGTCACTGAACAGTTAGAGTAGGGACGCATCGCAACCAATATTTTCAGTTACAGCCGCAGCCAGAAATGAGCGTTTTTAAGGTGGCTTCATACAGTTTCTTGAAAAGTGGAAAAGACTTTATAGTAATTACTGTATAGCAGAATGAACCAGATGTCTTAAATAGAACAGTATTTTGAGAATCAGAAACTGTAACGGAAAAGTCCGTAACTGTGGTTACTATGGCAACAATGACGTTTTAAAATGGCTGCTAATTTGCATTTGAATTAGTTTAATTCGAAAACAACGTCGGTGACCCCCAATTTTTATTTTATGTTTATTTTTTTTCTAGTGTGAGCAATCATGAGGACAATTTTTAAAAAATTCTATAGATCCAAAAACTTGTTGTCAGGAATAAACACGTTCTTTCGATTTGAAAAATTTTGGATCTACAGAATTTTTTACAAATTGTCCTAATGATTGCTCATACTAGAAAAAACTTTTGAAACGCCATTGTTGCCATAGTAACCACAATTACGAACTTTTCCGTTACAATTGTTTTTGTTTGTGGAAACACCACGTAAATTTATTACTGCAAAGCTTTCGATCCGTAAGCCCGGATCTTCATCAGTGCTAATAATATGTGACTTGTTTAATTCACACACTCTTTTTATATACAAGAGTGTCGTGATCTGTTGGCTCGCGTCATTTGAAATTTAATTAAACGGAATCAACCACGTCATTTCAAACGTAGTGAAGTGATTCCAATTAACGCGCGCGCATCCAAGACAAGAGAAATTAATTTTGCACATTAAAGAGAGCACGCCACGTACTATCTAGTGGCTTTCCCTCCTGATATATAGTATTGTGCTTCTCGATTTCAATTGACTCTCTCATTTTGCGAGAGAACTTATGACTATCAATCGCCAAAATCGTTGCTTCGTCCCATTTTATACGATGGTCGTAAGTCCAAGTATGTTTAGCCACAGCAGATTTATCTTGCTCGGCTTTCTCGCAATTCGTCTTGTGTTCCTTAAGACGTACTGAGAGATTTCGACCAGTTTCACCAATGTAAACCAGACCACATTCACAAGGAATGCGGTACACACCAGGTTTCTGAGATTCATTTACGTTGTCTTTATGTGTGCAAAGAGCTCGAAACAATTTGTTTTCGCTGGAATGGTATACCTTTATACCTGCTTCATTCCTCAAGATTCTTTCGATTTTGTGTGAAGCCGGACCAATGTATGGTAGACAAACAGACGACTGATATTCAATCTTCTGCTGTATACTTTGTGGCGTTTTCATAGCATTATCTATGAAATGCCGTGGGTAACCATTCATTTTTAGAACATTTCTTAAATGTTCTAATTCATCGTCAACGTTACTTACCTCACAAATTGTTTTCGCTCGGTTGATGAGTGTCTTACACACAGAGTTTTTGATACTAGGATGATGAAATGAATTATAATGCAGATACCTGTCTGCATGTGTTGGTTTCC